TACTCGGTTCCCCTTGTTACGAAACCTTGAATAATATTTTTTTTATGGATAAAAAATAAAGTGTGTCTAAAACTACATAGAATATTTTGATACAAGCTTTGACTGGATTAACTGGATACCACTACATATCCAGAATCTGTTATAGCTCCACAGTTCAATGAAAAATAATCAAAGTCATATCGAAATCTACAAAAGTGGCAAATAACACAAATAAACAATGAAAAACAAAAATTCAAAAACCGCAGAAAAGAGACATGTGTACACAGGTCAGCAGCGAGAAGGGACCCTCCTAACATTGCTCAGGTCACATGAGGAGACATCGAGAGAAAAGTTGAGAAACGCGAGAAGCTGGGAAAAGACGAAGCAAAAGCAATGAGAAAAGACGAGAGCCAGAGAGTTGTCCCATCGTTGGAAGAAGCCGGAATGTGATGATGATGGTTGTAATATGATGATTGAAAAATGGGAGAGAGAGAAAGCAGAAGCCCAGGTGGACAGGATATAGAGAACACTTGGGCGGATGGATGAGATCTATGAGATTGTGATGATACAATAAAAAACAAGTGTATGTTCGAGATATATCTTTCCAGTTTTCTAAAAAAGATCCGAATTGGACTATTAGATTCAAGATTTATCGATAAAAATGTCGCTTAAACAGGGCTATAGGATTTCCTAAGGGATTTTCGGAGAAAAGTGAAATATGTCAAATATAATGGATGGTACAAGCTAAAATCATTATGATTTTCAAAATGTCTTTTTTGGGAAAAATAAAAACAATCATTTACAGCTCCCTTAAACAGCTTCTAAATGCCAATAATCCTGATTTACTAAATATATGAAAGCTTTGTGTCTCTGATATGGAGCAGTGAAATTTTAAAAAATCAACTTGACGTTCTGCTAATTTATCTCGTTCCCTGAAAACGGCATCAAAACGTGGTCCACTGATGAACGTGCAATATGAGCCAATTTATCGCAGTTCTTGAGAAGAGTTATTAAGTAACTGAAGTAACTGATAAAACGTAAAAAAGTAACTGATAAAACGTTTGTCGTAATATCAAAAATATTTAACGAGTTGACCACATTTTGATAATTATCACAGGGACCGAGATAAAGCTCAAAGTTGATAGCTACCGTACTAAGATATGCCTAAACGTTCACTTTGAGCTCAATTAGCTTTGCTCCTATGAGAGCTATAAAAATGTTGTCAACTGATAAAATATTTATGATATTATGATGAATAATTCAGCAATGAAAAACTTTCGAATATTTTTCAAAAGAACCGAGATAATTAAGCTCAAAGTGGACGTAGAGGGCGTCTTCTCTACAAGAGTTTATGGTAAAATGACATTTTATGAGGCGTCTTACGGTATATTTTGAACAATGAAAAAAAAACAGAAAAACCATGTCCACGTGGCCATTTGTGCCCACAAAACCACACAAAAATTTGACGTCATGTCCATTTATGCTCATCTCATCGCAGTCACTAGATTCCCATGGAAAACGAATATTAATGAAATTCACGAAATATGTGTTTTGAAATTGAAAAGATCTAGTTCACATGAAGAGATGGACTGGTACTCAACAGATGGAATAATGCTTCAAAGAGAGTGCAGTGAACGGAATAATTAGGTTTCCCCTAGTGAATGTGTTCTCGCAAATTCATTCAATTTCAATGGCTTTTCGGAGACAAGAAGGGGTGGAGGGGTCATTTATGTTGAAAACATTACAATGTGGTCAACAACTTTGGCTAGGAATTCAGTAATATGAATTTGTGAAGTTAAAACAAATACTCCAAACGTCTTGGTGCAAGTGTGTGGGTTTCTTTGATCATCGGAAATTTATTTGGATGTGCAAAACAGATTCCCTGAAAACGTATCATCCAGTACTAAACGAGAAACAGAAAATGAAGGCAGACAAGCAACTGATATTCTTGAACTCTTCGCACTAGCAACTCTAACTCTATGATGAGGAGAGCTCATATGTATGGTATGGGTCCTTGGGAAAAAAGACTCTACATTCCCCGCTGGCAAATCATAAATGCCAGGTGGATCTATCCTTTTTGAACGGCTGTAAAAGTGACATTTGAGTCGTAATCGAGTACCGAAAGTGTTAAGAGACATGAAAACATGGCTGTTTTGTTTTCTGAATCGAATGGGAGTTAGAGGGTTTCATATCTTTTTTCGAAAACCTTAAACTCGAGTGTTTTTTTTAATTTTTTTTTAATGCATCGTATCAAAGATTAAAAACAATTCAAATACTATTATTAACTTCATAAGCTATTAAAATGGTTAACTGAATCTTAGTTGATATTTCTGATTTCTCATTTCTCATATAACAAAGTAGGATAAAGAATAGCAACCATCAATTTCAGACCTGATCTATTATTGGCGATGCTCAGTTGTAATTTTCTTATCTCTCCGGACCGCTATAACCGTACAGAGCCAACAACTGAAAAAATTGTAGTCATGACAGTCACACTCTGATAGAAAGCTACTCTTCACTTGCATTTTGAGCTAATTTATTTCTATTTTTTTGGAAGTATTCAGCAAATTGTAAATTGTTAAAATGTTTTTAATGTTATGTTGAACATTTTATCCGTTGCCACTTTTTTAAATATGTCACAGGAGCTGTGATATGAGTACTCGAAATGCAAGTGCCCTCCTATTAGAGCGTTTATCGTAAACAGGAGTGCTTTAAAGTATTGTTATCGTGAAAATAAATTTGCCTGTAAAGTTAAAAAAATTAAATGTGAACCGGGACAGTTTTAAGCTAATATTTCGAACATCATTCTAGAATTGCGCTTTGAGCCTTGTTATCTCAATTGTTATCTTAATTTCTGTAAGAGGTATGAAAAATCGACAAACTACAATGGACTGCAACTAGATTACCCCAAATGCTTCGATAATGCTTCGATAGTTGGTGAAATTATTATGACAAGTTCATCAGTTGACAAGTTTTTAATATCTTTCATAGGAATCGAAATATTTGAGCTTAAAGTAAGTGCACGTAAAAGTTTGCCTTTTGTCACAGTTTTACTGTATTTCAATCATCAAAATCGTCAGCTTCCGGGGTCATAACATGTTTCCTTTTTTTGTTTGTATGTAAGTATTTTTTCAATCAATTTATCAAGGTTGATCTTTACAGTAATCCTTATTAGAAGACGTGGATTTTTCGTGAAAACTACAACCTACAAACCATGTCTTGAATGTAAAACTTCTAATTGTGCACCCTAAGTTAAAGTATACTTCAAATAGTCATGCCCCCGGAGCAATTTTCAAGCAATAGTAAACCTTCCAATTGATATATTTTTCCAATAGTCTTGCACTATCAATCCTAGTACATGTGTATTGCACTTAACATACAGTACTTGATTTTTTGTTTTTCTCCAAACATATTGTTTTCAATAATTTGAGTACATATTCTTGTGTCTTGATTGTTTCATTAGTCAAGTAATAGTGGAATTTGTAAAAATACACACAGAAACAGTATAAGTATTTTTCCTTGTTATCAAAAATGCCCTTTTTCGGGAGTAAACTTCTGATTGTAGTGCACCCGAAAAAAATTATGGTGAACCGTTATGGACTGCAACTAGATTACCCCAAATGCTTCGATAGAAGCCCATTTCACGTGTGCACTTTGAATACAATTATCTCGGTTCCTACAAGAGAAATAGAAAATTTGTCAACTGATAAAATATTGGTAATATTGTGATAAAAAATTTGTGTAAAAAGGAATCGAGATAATTGAACTAAAAATGCACGTATAGGATGAGCTCCTAGTTGAGCATTTACGGTAAAGATTTTACGGCATCTCTAAAGTTCAAGTTTACGCAAAAACAGAGTTTCATTCATTTAGTTCCCTTAATTGTTTTCTCCTTCCGGAATAGACTAAAATTCATCCTCCTACCGTATTTCTCGCTGGATAGTGACCCTATAAAAACTTTGACACACCGTATCACAATCATTCTCCATTCGTTTTCACACTATCTTTTCTAAGAAAACCCATCGGGTGTTGTAATGAAAACAAAACCCGAAAGACAATAAAAAAAGAGAAAAAAAGGCGAAAATTCCTAATCGTAACGACTGCTGATAAATCACTTTTTTGTGTCCCTTTGTACATCTTATTCGATGAAAAACGCAAAAACGCACATTCGGCGATAGAACTGACCGATTGCCGATGCGCCCGTTTGATTTATGTTCTGTTCGAGAACCCAAGCCTCGTTTCCGTGTATGTTCTGTTTCTTCTGACAATTTTATCGTTTCCTTTTTATTGTTTACCTATGGACACTTTTCGCTGATTAATTTATTGATAATAAAACCCTTAAATCGTTGAAAACTGATCGAATTCCGCTCTAATTTTGAGGTCATGCATTGCATTTATACCTGTTCAAAAATCATTGTCAAATTCTTTTATTATATCACGGAATCCGGAGAACAAAAAAAAATCAAATGTTATGCCTAACAAATTTGTAAAAAGCAGCTTGGGGTAGGGTACATTTCCAGTTCGAATTGCAAAACAAAATATTTGGTATTGTATTACCAGTAAGAAGATCAAAAAATTGATACGAACAATCAAATATGGGATTCCACGCTATGTATCACAAGTCATGGCAGTTGTATGCTACTAAGGGAGTGTGTCATGACCATCGATGATGGTCAAGAGAAGCAAAACAGATAATGATAAGGAAGAAGGTAAGATTAGATCATTGCGAATGGCAAGATACTCTACTGGAAAATATAGGTATCAGGCTGCAGTCGTGGGATTTATGTCGGTGGCTTAGTGAGAAGATGTGGGATGGGGGAAAAGGAAACAATACAATTTGAGAAATTGATGTGTACACAGAGAAATAAGCACAAATTAAGCATTTTTGGTGCATCGAGCGTGTCAAAAAGCATTTCGAGAGGAGATGATGAGACTTGTCTTGAAATATAACGTCATGTTGAGGTGTGAGAAGTATGTTGAAAGATATTTGTGCAAGTAGTACAATTCCTCCAATGCCTGATTTAGCAGGCTGCTGCGTGTTGGTGTGCAAGGGCTCTCTGATGAGCTCTCATCGTGGCTCCTGGAGACTCAGTTCTTGGCCGACGATTTCTCTTCATAATCCCGTCTTTTCTCAGAGACAATGGGCGTTTTCTGTTGTTCTTACGGAAGTACAAGTTGCATGCGCTGAAATGTCGGTTGTGATTGATGAGTGATGACCTTCCTGATCAATCAATTAATTCAACTTACTTGCACTCGACACCACCTTCGCCATTTCGTCGCCATAACGTCGTCTCACGAGTTTTGCAGTTCGAGCAGATTGAGTTTTGGTGACATTGGACTGCCTGAAAATGGGTTTTGATTAGTTTTCAATCGGACACTGGTCGTACTGCCATTCTCTTTTTTATTGGCTTCGGCTCGATGACAAGCGGGTCTTGCGGGGGCGGTGAAAAATTGGGCATTGTAGAGTATGAATGTGGTGGGGAGTTATTTAGTAAGGGAAGCGGCGTTTCCGACTGTGGAAAGTTTGTGAAGTTGGAGAGGTTCTGGAAACATGAAAATTTTATTTGAAGAAATAACTTAGTATGTTTGTTCTTTGGAAATTGACGAAAGACTATTTTTCCAGTACCGGTCAATAAGACATACAAAAATATATTTTCAGTTAAGTTGTCGAAGATTTTCAAGAGTCTGAAGCTCGGCTGCCAAGTTTCCTATCTTTTTGAAAAATTCGCAGATTGTAAAACAGAGATAGATTGAAAACTTTAAATTTGAATAATTTTTTGAAAATTCCAAGTTTTTCAGTTATTTTCCGATTTCTAGAAGATACCTTTTTGGTCAGTCTTTGTACTGAAAACATAAGAAAAGCTGTCAGTCTGAAACCGGAAAATAGCCGAAAAAGGAAAAGGAAATTTCAGGAAATTCTGTAAATGCAGAGTTTTTAATCTGGGCCTGTTTTAAACTCTCCAAAACTTTAAAAGTGATCGAAAACTCGAACGTCGAGCTCCAAACCACTCAAAATGGTCAAAATCGCCAAAAAAATCAACTGGAAAGTACGTATTCTTATTGGCCGGTACTGTATGAATCCAGCTCATTTTGCCAAATGTGTTTAAAATTTGAAAATTGTAAAACCCGGCATACCGTGTTGAAGTTTTGATGATGTTTATTGGGTGACACGAGTCGTGAATCCGATATCTGAACAAAAATATAAAAAGTTATGCTATATTAACATTTTAAAATTTTACATACACCTATTGTTTCGTAAGCTACAGTACCGGTCAATAAGATGTACAAAAACGTATTTTTCAGCTAATTTTTGGTTATTTTGACCATGTTCAAGAGTATAGAGCTTGGCTTTCAAGGTTTCGATTACTTTTTCAGTACAAAAACTGCTCAAAAAGAATATGCAATATTTTCAATCTAGGTCCGTTTTACACTTTCGACAGTTTTCAAAGTGATCGGAAATTTGACGGCCGAGCCTCAGACTCCTAGAAATTGTCAATAGGGCTGAAAAAGAACTAAAAATACGTTTTTGTGAACCTTTTTCCGGTAATGTAAAATTTCTTGAGATAATTTTAAGACTTTTAGGATACTCACCAATTCAAATATATTGAAGGGTACTTGTTGTGACTGTGTTACTGGAGCTGTGTTCATATAATTTGTGGATAATGGTGTTGGGAAGTTCATCTGTAGCATTTCCTGCTGATGGCTGAGTACCTGTCTGGAATAAAGAAGCGAATCCATGAAGAATATAGGCAAGAATAAAAATGATGGATTGCGACGACGACGTCGCCCTATGATGCAGTGTGCCTTTATATGATGAGAGAGACGGGACAGAATGAGAGAATTTTTTGGTGGAAGTTTCGATTCTTTTTTGCGGCCCCGCTGATTGATGTCAGTTGATAATTCGACTGACCTTGATAACATTTGAGAACAAATAGAGAAAGGAGTTGTCAAAAAATAGATTGACGACGTAACGGAAATGAAGAAAAAAATTTGATGAACATTGTTCATTTAGTACTTACGCATTTGTGAAGTCTGCATATGTAGGCTGTTCTAGTTGAATATATGGATGCTCCACCAGTGCAGGAGCCACTTTTTCCACACGGTATTCATTCATCGTTGGACTACCAGCAGCAGCTGTAATCAAGACTCATGAGAGGAGATACAGTAACCGGATGGCAAAAAAATGACATTTTAGTTTGCTTCTTTGATACGGAACTGAGGAAAATAGAGTTCAGGAGAATTGTTGAGTAAAGAAGGTAATTCTCATTCAGGAAATGTTCATTAGCATGTATTGAAAAGGTTTGTGTCTGGGGCAAAAAGCCAATGTTAATTTTTCAGAGCACCTATGAGAACATTGTCTGCTTTTGACAAGAAAAAATTGGAATCCAGAGCAACTTAAAAACAGAGTAAAAGCTTTGTAAAGGATCATTCAAAAAAAGGTTCTACGTGGTCAGATTTATAGTGCTACATTATTGTTTTAATTACATTCATCTACCGTATAACATGATATAGAAGAGTCCGTCAACTGTCACGTTTTGACTCAATCATCTCGGTTCCTTCAAAATATATCAAGACATTTTCAGCTGATAAATTATTTATCATATAATCACCAATATCTTATCAATTGTCAAATTTTCACAATCTTCTACAGGATCCGAGATATATTAGCTCAAAGGTAAAAAAAGATCTTTCTATTACATGTGGTACATCTCTTAAGAGTAATTTGAAAATAAGTCTCTATCTTTTAATTTCGTATTTTTATCATGAATATCTGTTCAGTGTAGTAAGCTTAAAAGTTTGAAACTGACATTGAAAAAAGCTAGACTGAAAAATGAATAATCCCCTTTATCATCGCCATGTTTTGTTCAATTTCCCCGAGAGACAGGAAGGACTAGTACTTCCTTTGTCAAAGTCAAATTTTCAGAGCACTGATACATTTTTTGTCCTTTTTGACTTTTAAAGCTAGTTTGTTTTCTAGGTTTAAAGATTTTTGAGTCTCTGAAACCTCCGGTACACTTAATTGAGAAATAACAAATAATTCGAAAGTACCGTATCCCCTCTACTGGAAGCCAATTTCAACTGTCAACGTTGAGATATAAAAGCTCAAAGTTGAAGGTACCGGTAAGCTTTTACTAGAGGGAGTACGGTAACATGCTGACCTGAAGTCCCATAAGAAAGTCCCATAAGTATTGTCGAGCTGAGTCAAATTCATTCTATTTTTGCATGAACTTGAAAAAGTTAATTGACGCAAAACATGAAAACCGTGAAAAAGAATTACGCACGGTGCCGTGGGAAACTACGAAAATTAGCGGAAGTTTGGGCTTAAAATGGAATTGAGTTATGTAGGTTTAACGTCACTTTAATTTTAAATAACCCTAATTTTTTGAATGGAAAAATTCACAAAAAAATGTTCCTACCCAACCAAATCTCAAAAATAAAACGTCAGACCTTCTAAGCTCCGCCCCCACCATTACCCAAGATTCTAAATTGTTTGATAACTTCTAAACCAACAGTAAGTTCTCTTAATTTTTTGTCTTTGTCGGCATCCTTTTAAACGAACACCAGAAAAAGATACAATCCCGCGATTTTCTTACAATTGACTGATTAGCGCGTGGAGAGGACAATCAGAAAACGGCATTGCGGTCAGTAGACAGTACTCGCGAAGGTCAGACGGACTTCCCAAATAGAGACTTACTGTAATAGGTGGCCGGTTTGAGGGAAATTTGGGAGTCCTTCATGAAGTTCGAGATACCAGGCAGACGGGCTGGATGAGATGGCTGGACGGCCTCCTGTTGATAATACTGGTACTCGTTTGAAGGAGGCGAACCTGAAAAATATAGAAAAATAATAAAAAAAACTAGCTGAAAGGGAAAAATGAAAAAAAAACGGGTTTTTGAGTTATGGCGGCAAATGCAACAAAGAATACACAAATAGGGATCGGTGCAAGTATGGGGCCTATGCATACTCATAAAAACGGCATGTGTGTTAGCTGTGCCAACATGAAAAAGATGAGCAATGTTTATCATGTCTAGAAGAGGTAGATACTGTAGAGGGGCGACTCCCATAGAAGGCGTTAACATGAAAGTTGGAAATTCAAATTTACATTGGCACCTGTTGCGGAAATTTCGTTCTTTTTGTTGCAATTTTTAGGGTACAGAGAGAATTAAGAGTGAAATGTTTGTTTGGAATGGATGGATGGATGGCATGAAAAAAAGATATTGTGTGTATTTTGTGACACATTGTATTCCGTTCAAGGAGGAAAGGTGAAAAGGAAAAGTTTTAGAGAGCATGACCTGTCTCTTGGAGGTTTTTGGAAGAATAATTTTGGGTATGAGGGGAAGAAGAGATTATAAAGTTTGAAATTGAAACCCTTATCTTTAGAGAATTTGACTACCGTATTTCCTTTAACTTTCAGCTCATTTATCTCCATTCCTGTGAAAGATACCAAAAATTTGTTAACTGACAAAATACTGGTGATATCATGATAAGATTTTATCAATTGACTATTTTTTTTTATATCTTTCTCAAGAATTGAGATAAATGAGCTCAAAGTTGACAGTTTGGGAAAGCTTTGTTGAAGAAATACGGTATGTGAGAAGGACTGAATTCATAAGTACCGTATTCCCTATAACAGAAGCCACCTTGAACCGTCAACTTTGAGCCATGGTATCTTGGTTCATGTGAAAGATAAAAAAATTCGTTAACTGATAAAATGTTAATTTTAACATCAAAAATATTTTATCAGTTGACAACGTTCTGATATCTTCTACAGGAAATGAGATGGATAGGCCCATAGTTGAGAGGTAGGGGGAGTGGCTTTCTATTAGAGTGATTTCGGAAAGGTCACAATTAAAAGCCGTGCCTCCAGAGAATACGCGTTCTCCTTAACATTGATAATAACAAAAATCTTGTCAAATCTGATTAATGTGTGAAAATGCTGGTATCAATACCTCCTACACTCTCCTCTAAAACAACCAATTTAAACAATTACAAAAAACTGAGAGCGGGCGTATACAAATTACCGCAATCGGGTCCAATGGTTGGAGCGAGAGAAGGAGAGGGACATTCCGATTCACGGTAATACTACGGTACTGACCATCTCATCAAACTTGACTTTGCGCGCCCGCCCAACCACCATCTCCATCTGTCTTTTCTCGAGGTTGGGACGCACAGAATCAAGACCGAATATACAGAGAAGACAGAGACGACTACTGGCCGTGGGTTGAAAGCGGAGAAAGGCAAGTAAAAATGGAGATAGGGGGCCTGATGATGGTTGAGACTGTTAACAATAGGACCCCAAGAATGAAGAAAAAGTGAGAGGCAGAAAGACAAAATTTTTTCTGTTTCTCTTTCTCTCTTAAAACAATTTTTCCCACTGTTTGAATGGTACCCACGATCATTAACTTTATAGTGGTGTACTGTGATGTTGCCAATATTGCGATCACGTTGTTTTTTTTTTCTGCAAGTGTCAAAGTACAATTCTTTTTCTGAGATTTTTTGGTCCGTCCCTGATCTGTCCTGGAGGTCTAATTGGGCTGGCGCCATCGGTCATCAAAACTCAACGAAATTTGATAAGCGACACATTGTTATCAGGCTAGACGGTGTTGATAAGGAGGCTAGCAGGTGAAAAGACCATTTTTCGAAGGGAAAAAAACTTGGCTGAACTCGTTTGATCTTAAACTGATAAGAAAAGAAAATAATGGAAAATTTCCTCGGATAATGATACACATACACAAATCAAATTTTGCTGGGTGGGGGTGATCGACCGCCCCGCCATAGGGTCGAGAGTTGTCGAATTCTGGAGACGACGATGAAGAGGAAAGTGACGAAAGCCAGCAATTGTTCCCTTTTCCTCTCCCCTACTATACATACGCACAATACAAAATATCAGTTGATATCCGGAGGCGAGAAGTGCCCGCTCTCTATCTTCTTATCCGTTGTCTCTGTCGTATTTCTCGATCCACAGTAACAACATCGGTCGCCGTCGCAACGGGTTACAAATTGTTCGGAGAGGAAAACGGACGATGAAGACGTCGTCTTCAAGATGGAGGAGGGGCAGACATTCACCAACCCCCCGCAACAATTGCATTCGATGATGATTAAGTTGTGATTGAGGCAGAAGATAGGGCCGACCCCGCAGTGTCCAAGATTCGACGGCGAAAACGACCAAAACCGTACTCCTCCGCCTCCACCACCTCATTTGAAAATGACCATGAAATAAAACGTGTCACATTTTTGCAAACTGATAGAAGAATTGAAACAAAAAAAAAGAGACACTTGTTTTAGACTTCTAGACAAACGTCCGTGGAGATTTCGACAAAGGAGATTCGAAAGTGCAAAGTCGAGAACGAAAGTGAATGATGACTAATTAGATTGATTACATCTGAACCTTTGCAATATAAATGGCTGGCAAATGAAATCTGGAGTTCAAAAGTGCGCGAACGATTTGAAACCTCTTACGAAAAATAGATTTTCATTCAGAAAGTTAGAAAGAATCTCATAAATGACAATAATTGAAATTAATAATAAGGAGAAGAAAATTCTAGAAAACGGGTGTTTTTCTGAACTTTGTAATACTTTTTCTTTGGAAAGTTGCATCTAAGGAAGATTTTGAATTTTCGAAATTATAGGATTTTTCGATTTTTCGTATTATTGGATTATTTAACATTTTCGAAATTACGGGATTCGTTAGAACTTTTGTATTTCTTAACTTTTTAGAATTGCAATGTTCCTAGTATTTTCAAAAGCCGAAACTTCAATTTCAACTTTGTCGGATATCTCCAAACTTCTGAATTTTTTTTTAATTTCTGAATTCTGGGGACCAAAAATTTTAAAAATCGAAACATCTGATTTGAGTATAAAAAAGAAACTTGAAGAATTTTTTTCCGAAATTGCTTCTATTTTTTTGGAAATTTTGAAATGGAGTGATCTTAAGATTTTTCGAAACTATCGGATTTTTAGAATTTTTTTGTAGTTTTGGACTTTTTGAATTTTCGAAATGTTCGAATTTTTTGTTTGTGTAATATTAAGAATTTTTTCCCGGGTTTTTTAATTTTCCCGAAATTTTCAGAGGGCCAAAAAAACTTTTCAAGGACAAAAATGACTAAAACCAAAAAATATAGAAGATCTCTCAGAATAAAATTCCTAAAATGTTCTTTTTTCTAGTTATTTCAAGTTGAAAGATCTTGATCTGCACTTTTCCACAAAACCTTTGAACTATCCAGAACAAAAGGACCTACAAATTTATATGAAATTGCACAATTTTTTATATCTTGCTCTTATTTTTCTGTCTAGAAAAAAAACCTAGCTCTGTCTAGAAGTCCAGGAATAATCTATAGTCAAAGTTATAACACTGAAAAATTGAATCAAGATTTCAAAAGTCAGAAATAAAAGTCAGAAAAAATGTGGAAATTTTTTTCAATACTTTTTCATTACAATTTCCATTTATTTGATTGAAAGACGTTAGAGACAAACAGAGAAAAGTTTTGAGCTCACAAAAAAAATAACTGCATGGCGAAAAACGTTACTGATAGAATCAATCGTAAAAATCCATCTCTTCTTCTCCTGTCCTCAAATCTCTTCTCGAAATGTACTATCTTTGCGAATTTCAAGAACAATCAATCACCTCCTCTTTACCCCCATTTGTCCTTCTATTGCAATCTTTGGGAACGACTTTTTGATGATACGGTCATCACACTGTTAAAATAACAATTGCGATGTGATGAAACAAAAAAAAGCAACGGTAGAAAAAAAGAAGGGATACTGATAACTTGTTTCTTGTTAATAGTCTTATTTTTGATGATGTTCTTCAATCTCTTCAAATATAGACGATGAAAAAAAGAAGGTGTCAAAAAACTAACCTTCTTTCCAAAATTGACCATTTTGAGATGTTATCCATTCAGAATGATTGTTTTCTTGCAACATTTGATATGGAGCGCCATTCAGGTTTTCTTCAGAGTATCCAAAGTTTGGGGGTGTATTCATAAGACTTTCTGGAAATTTTAAATGAATTAGAAAGTTTGGAACGTTGAAAAAGAATAATAAATGTTACCTCTGGTTCCAGAACTTGAAATTGAAGAATTTGGAGAGGTCGAGTAATAATTGGATGTATCCATCTGCATTCTACCTCTGAAATAACTTTGTTGTGAAAACATGAGACTAGTGGTGATAAGAAACAATTTTTTTCCATCAAAAAAGAAACTGACTGCTAAGAAAAAAGAAACACAAAAAAGTGAGAGAACTATAACCAATACTGATAACGCGTAAGTTAAAATGTCGCCTATAATGTTTCTTTTTGGTTTTTTTGCGACCGTGGGAAACGGAAATTAATTGGTTAGATGAACATTTATAACTTTTTTCATTTAGAAATTACCAGTAAGACTAATTAACAGTAAGATTAGATCAATCTTATCGAACAAGTTAATATCTCTAAGAAGGCGTTTTTCTTGTTTTTTTTGTTCTGTTTGTTAAAAGGTTGTCTTTTTCAAAGAGTTTTGCCGAAACTAGGTTTGGTGTGAGTGCGGAAAAGTTTTGTTCCAAAATGTTTGAAATTTGAAAAAAAACTATTATGTATAAGATATACAATTACGTAATTTTCAGTCAATTTCTAGCCATTTTGACGATTTTCAGAAGCTCAGCTTTCAAGTTTCAGGTCACTTTGAAAAACGTGAAGGGTGTGAAAGAGTCCTAATTGGAGAACTTTGCATTCACAGAAATTTTCAAAAATTCCTAATGTTTCAGCTATTTGCTGGAGTTCTGAAAGACACCTGTATTTTTTTCTGTACAAAAACTAGTAAAAAGGGGTACTTCGGAAATCGGCCAATAGCTGAAAAACTAGGAATTTCCAAAAGTAGAGTGAAAGCAAAATTTTTAATCGAGCTCTGTTTTACACCCTTCAAAATTTCATAGTGATCGGAAACTTTACAGCTGAGCTTCAGACTTCTGAAAATGATCAAAATCCACCGAAAAACACGTTTTTGTATACATCTTATTGACCGGTACTGTAGGTATCGTAACACCACGGGGTCACAGGGTGTGCGCTTTTCCGAACGCAACAAGGGCGACACGTTTAAAAACAATTTTTTTTGTCACGTTTTCTCATTGGAAGGTGTAAATGAAAAAAGACTCCGTGTCGACTTGTTTTCAGATAACACGTGCTGTGCAGCCAATTTTATTTTTTAAATTTGAATAACCGCCAGAGTGCAGTGGAGCGCGCTCATTCAAAAGCAAACACACTTTCACCCCGTGTAACACCTGTATCAAAAGAGCACCTATTTAAAATGTGTTGTTCAAGTTTAAGTTTTTTGTACAGGTTCACTAAAAATATGTCAGAAAATCCTCAATTTTACAGAATTTTTACGAAAAACTTCGGTGAAATTAATAGCTTTTCATGAATAAAAAAAATTTATTGACTAGATTTTTCTACTGAAGACTTTAAAAAAAATCGCCATGAAAATAGGAGGGCCCCTCTAATTAAAAGACTCTTGAAATAGAAGGGTCGTTTGCAAAAACTTCAGAGCAATAGAGCTTGGAGCCTTTCTAGCATACTGTAAAACCTGTAATAGAAGGACCTTCACATTTTCAAGTTTGAGCTTAATTATCTCGATTTTTGTGAAAGATATAGAAAATATGCCAACAGGTAACACGTTTATTATGTTATGGTAAACAATTTATTAGTTGACAATTTATTCATATCTTTGACAGCAATTGAGATAATTTGTCTCAAAGTTAGAAGTTAGTGGGCCACGAATTTACTGTAGGATTTACGGTATATAAGAGTGTACAAAAAAAACTGTTGAAAGCTAAAAATTGTTTAAATTCAGATTTTTCTGAATGGCTAGGTTCATCTTTCATAAAGTAAAAAAAGTTTGCATCCAATCAAAAAAACGAAAAATTAACATGACATACTTTGAGTCCGAAACACTACAAACCCTGTTTTTCTTTCAAAATCACAGTCAATTGCAACTGCACAAAAAAACAGCAACACACCTAGATAAGAACACCGGAGCTCTACAAAAAAACGTAAAGAGAAACAAAAGCAGTCTCTCTACACCGTCCTAATCACTAATCGATATGTTTGAAAAGCAAAAACATGAATAATAAGCGTTTCGACAATAACAACTATTTTTGAGCTGTTTTGACAGAGCTAGACAGAATGCTTACACCTTAAAATACAGTAATAATCAGAGAGTAAACAAATCAAATGAAAAATAAATGATGACAGCTTGATGTGCTTACTGTTCCGTTTTTTTTTTCGATTTCTCAACGAGGGCTGAAATAATCAAAAGTATATTATCAAGAAACCATCTAGACTAACACCTATGCAAAAATGAAAAGAACGAAAACACTTATCAGGAATAGAACTCTCCGAATTTTTGCGATAAAACCTTTATTGTTCAATTGTTTCCAAAATCAACTTACATTACAAAAAGTGGGGTAGGTGATAACATTGTATTCCACTGATTTCCTTGTTACTTTCAGGAAAAAGAAGAATTTCAGATCTGGATGAAGTTTCTGTGGGGGGGGAGCAAAGGGAAAATTGAGAGTATGTGTTGCGTTTTGTTTTCAATTATCGAGCATTGCCTTCGTCGACCACCGAGTTCCTATCTTTTCCATTCTGCAATAAGTGCAGAAAAAAATAACAAGCCAACTTCTTTCTTCATGGTTTTGAAATTGTATGTAGTTTAAAATTTTTGGCATAACTCACATTTTGAATTTGTTAAGGAAAACATTTTGTTCGTGTAGTTCGTACCTGGTCATTCCAACCAAATTGATCTTGTGAACATTGTTCCAATGAAGTCATTTTTTGTTTCGGAAGACTTGTCACTCAAGTGAATGTCAATTTATTGTGGCAAGTTGACTTTTTTTCGGGTCGTTTGACTTCATCTTGATAAGTTCAAAAATCGTAAAGTGGAGGACATCGAAAAAAGGTATTTCTCGAAATTCTGTTCATAAACGACACTCGTGGAGTTAAACTTGTGTATTCAACGGAGGAGGCGCCGCGCAGCTGCCAGCTGAGCCACAGTGGGAACAACGTGGTACAACTGAATTGAGGTTACAAAAGTTAGTGATTCGGAGGTACAAAACGCCTGGGTAAATTGAATTTGTGTACCGTTGAGCTGAAGTTTTTGATCCCAACGAAACTACGAAACATTTTGAGACAAAATTTCAAATCGAAGGCACAAAAAATACAACTTGCAACAAAATTGTGTACCGTCGAATCATGGAGTTTGTACCCCTTTTTTGCTCATATCCCTCAATATTTTGTCGCAGACGTGATTTGGGGGTACNACGAATTCGAACGTTTTCAAATTCGAACAGACCTAAAATCGAACTGTTTCAATTCAGAACAGTCCTTTTTTCGCACACGTACCAGAACAAAACGCGGACAGAATCGAACTGTTACAAGTTCGAACTGGTAAGGAGTCCAACTCTCCTAAATTGGAACGCTGCCTGCAACAGAGCGCGCATGAAAGCACACACAAAACAGCGTTCCAATTTGGGACAGTTCGACCCCTTATCAGTTCGAACTTGTAACAGTTCGATTCTGTCCGCGTTCTGTTCTGGTACATGTGCGAAAAAAGGACTGTTCTGAATTGAATCTGTTCGATTTTAGGTCTGTTCGATTTTGAAAACGTTGGAATTNGTCGTACCCCCCGTGATTTAGCTTCGTTTTTTTCTAACCCTAGCTCCTTCTCTGCTTCAATGATTCAGAAACCACTGGTTCCTGATCATTGCAAAAATAGAAACATATAATCATTTTTATATCGTCACTGGTCCTTAAAATATAATGTGTTTAAGGTTATGTCTATTTTTTTCATGCGTAATAGTTTTGCTGTTTTTCGTTTCTTGAACAATTTCAAACGTTGAATTCGATTTAAAGAAAACAGTCAACATTTTCAATATAGCATTTGTCTGCTGATGTCTGCCTATGCATAGCTCACTGAAAAAAGAATATACTGTAAACACTTTAATAGAATGATCTAATAATTTTCAACTTTTAGCCATTTTATCTCGAGCAATGTAGGAGATATCAAAACATAGTCAACCGGCAAACCTTTCATAATTTTATGATGAACATTTTGTCAGTTTACAACTTTTTAATACTTTTTCAGGCAACGAGATAAATTGGCTCCAAAATAACAGGGTAAATCTAGAGGAGAGACTACGGTAAGCTAGTGGTCTTGACAGTTTCTTCAATTCTAAAAATTGGTTTTCATAATTTTTATATTATCACTTTCATACCTTCCCCTCTTCATATTACTAATAGCTCTAATGTCTAGAAACTTCCAATCCACTGGGATATTTTTTGTGTGGGTTAAACAGTTTTTACCCCTTTTCATTTATTTTTCTGACAATTCATCATCTAGAACATCTCTTGGGTGTTTTCTCAGTTTTTTTGAAATCTAATAAAATATGCATTCATCTTATTAACGAGAAATAAAGAAGGGATAGAAGATTCAGGGAAAAAATTTGAACAGGAAGCGAAGAATTTAATCAGTGATATAGAAAATCTGTCGCCGGCGTTCGGCAATTGGTGAAACCTTCGCTGTTCCTCTACAGAAAACAATGTTGGCCACATTACGACGGACCTAGAAAATACAACTACATGACGTCATAAACTCCAATGCCCATTACCTTTGGGAAAGTGATGAGCCTTCCAATGAGTACGGAGGAGAAGAATACTGATGATGTGATTGGAAGAGCAATCCAAACGACCATGGCCAAATCCGAATCTGCGAAATATGTGCTCAAAACCGTAAAGAGCTGAAAATTAGGAATTTATTGTTATAGCTGACTCATACTAATTATGTTCTCACCATGTTAAAGGCAACCGTCCAAATAGAACTGATAACCACAAGAAGGTCGGAGAAGTGGTTAAGCTCTCCGGTCAGGACAAGAGGAATGATAGAAATTAAGGCTGCAAACAATGGAGAGCATCCAGATAGCAAACACCATTTCTGCAAAAATAATAGTTTCTACCCCGCCGCACATTTTTCACGATTACCGAATTAATAACCGGAAGCACAAATCCATTTTCAGTGATTCTGATCTCTAGAGGTGTCACAATGAATGGGACAGCTGTGAAGAGTGACAATGACACCAGTATACCCAGGATGTTGCGATCGAAAGACTTCTAAAAATTATTATACAGTAATTCGACTCTACAGAGCTTCACGATCTGTTTTTTTTTGTTGGAATCCTATCTTTTCAATCACAGACAACAGAGTTTTGGTCAGAACAAGATAGGTTTTTTTTTATTTATTTTCAGTGCACTCAAGTAGAAACAAAAGAAGAAGTCAGAAAAGCAACAACTGCACCTACGAAAACAAAAAGTGTGAGAAAATGGAAATATATCAACTTACGGGTTTACGACAAGCTTGGGACTTCTGTGACAAAGCAAGCGCGATTAAAATTAGTATTTCAAGCGTAATCATTGCATTTAACACTCCAAAAGAAATACGGAACGCCCAGTTCAGCCATGATACTGTATAATCTCCTCGAGTAAAATCTCTCAAAAATGATCTGAGTATTGGAGAAAAATTATCATTTTGACCGAGAAAACAGAGCTTAATATTCCGAAGAAGCTCTGAAAACCAAAATTAATGAACTAGAAATTTGAGGAAAATTGAGGAACTCACAACTGCCATGAAGGCGAGACGATAGTATTGGGGAGCGAAAAAAAATTCCCGATATTTCTTCACAACCATATGAAAAGCAATTGAGCCCACTAGGTTGGCACCATCTATGGTGACAGTCGTAGCTATAAGCAGTATGAGGAAGAAGTTCATGGCGTTGGAGAGATCTCAGGAAGTCTTCGAAAGTGGAACAACAAATGCTGATAAAGACTTGCTTGTTTCCCGAATCCCACGCTCCGCCTTTTTGGCTGAAAATGGGCGTTCCCAAGATCTCAGTAGAGGGATGAGAGAAAGGATAGAATTCCAGAACAAAGAGACCACAAGAGAGTTAGAGATTGCCGGTTGCCTAGGCACTCATGTATAGGGGCAAGATGAGAGAAACACGAGTTGGGAAGAGATAAAAGAGCCAGATGTTGGGAGAAGACGTTGTCTCACTTTATGACTTCATGTATCTTTCGGGAGTGCTTTCTGACTGAAAAATAGGCAGGGTCTGGGGAAATTGTCAGGGGAAGGTTGATTACTGCGCTAAGCAAAAGTTCCAAATTTTGAGATCCTGACATTTGGGATAAATAGTCTACGGTGACTTAAGGTTCTTGGGGTCGCTGAGGCTTGAAATACTACCGCCTGAAGTTTCGCAGTCTAGGTTGCAAACTTGTGTGTAAGAATTGAGAATTGACTGATGAATACGAATTTTATTTTGAAAAAGGTGGTATTTTTCAAATCCAAAATGTTCCAAAAAATTTCTAGAATCGCATTTTTCGATATTGATCCAACTGAACAATTGTTTTCTCTCCCTTCCCATAACGACGTGCAAGAACTAACTGGCAATCTCTTCCGCTTGTTAGATGAAATTGATCATCACAAAACGGCAATTTTCAGAGACAACTGAATCATCACTTCGGAAAGAAATATGAGCAAAAACCGAAAATGGTAATTTTCGACAAAATGGCGGTTTTTTGAAAATTCGTTTTTGAAAAAAAATGGGTGGGGAATAATGTTATTTCTATTGAAATTAACATTTTTGATTTTTACGAAAAGATTCTGGTATGGCAAAAAATGCGACAAAAGGGTCCATGTTTTACAACTAGATGTAAATCATGATTCACGAGTTATACTGCTGAGAAAATAATGCAGTTTTTTGGAATGGAACCTTGTGGCAGAATTTATGGCTAGTAAAACAAGAAACACATTTCAATAGTATTGTTATAATTACAGTTTCTTTTAGGTGTTTTTGAAAGGGCTCTTTTCTAGTTTAGAGGTCCCAAAAAATTCAGAGTTCCCAAAAAAATTAGAGGTCCGAAAATAAAAAAGAGGTCCGTAAAAAAAATTGAGGTCCGAAATTTGAAAAACGCGCAGATGTTGGAATAATGTACTAGAATTTAGAGTTTTGTGTTTTAAGGGTCTATAAGATAATAAGTGCGGAAATGTGACTTTTCCTAACATTTTTAGCTCCATTTCATTTTTGTCTTTCTGATGGACCCAAATTTTCATATAAGCAAAATGCCGGCAAAACAGTAATGCATCCATGAATATGTTGTCTTTCAGGCTTAGATAATACAGAAAATGTGCATCTCTAAACATATTAGAAGTATAAAATATTAGGTTGGTAAGAAAGTTTCTTCCTTTTTTGGCAAAATTTTTGATCAGATTTTCCTTAAAGCAGAGGGGGCAAGATCAATGAAAGTAACGTCCATGAGCATCGGTAGTTGTCTGGTAACGCTCTGGTAATTTCTTGATGACATCGGACCTGAACGACGAGAGCTGCGATTGAAAATGTGGGTCAATTCCTTTTTTGTGTCAACTTTTCAATTGAAGTATTTTCTATGAAGATGACGTTCAAGAGCCCCAAACAACCATTTTTTTGATAGGGCAAGGTCTGGGGAATACGATGAGTGCAAAAGAATGGTTTAGACAAAATACATGAATTTTTGGCTGATCCCTCTAGTCACAGGTGGTCTCGCATTGTCGCGCAGGAAGCGGACTTTCGTTTTTTCTCCTCGTTTTGATTCGGCTGTCAAATTCAACTTCTCCAATTAGAAACTACACAATGCGGCAGTTATAGTGGTACCTTCATCTAAAAGTTCCCAGACTCCATCCCATTGAAAAAACACCAAATACATAGCATACCCATTTTCACGTAAAATTTAGGTTTTGAGACGTCCAGAGCTAGCTGTTCTTTGGCAATCAACTGACCCTTCCACACATAAATAGAGTAACTTACTCACTTATTATCTACGGTAATTAGATCCCTTACCTAACTGAACGTGCGAAGAAATGATAGGAGAAACATGCTCATGTCTATTTGGAAATCCATATCGTAGTTTTTCAAAGCATTGGGTACGAGTCGACCCAGTTCTTGAAGTTGCCAAAAGACTTCGATCCTTTCACAACATTTAGTTGACTAACCGACAATGCCTTTGACATTTTACAAGTGGTTTGAAGTGAATGCGACTTCACGACTTTAAGCAATTGATCGAGATCCACCTCATTGGGCCGTTGGCATCTTTCAACCGGTTCTCCCACGTGCGAAATTTTTTGAACCAAAGGCAAACTGTAGGCGATGACCGAACATGTCCCTTATATAAATTCACCAATTGCTTGTGAATACCGTGTTTTTGAAGACCAAATAAAAATAAAAGTATAAGCATGTGGCTTATGTACATTGGGATATGGACCAAAAGAATCGTCATTTCTCCAACACGAAGTGAGACGAAAATTTGAAAATCAAGGATCTAATAGACACTAAACACAGCTCTCCAACAAAAAAAATCTGGCCTGGTACGCCACTTTGATAACTAGAAATCGAAGCTCAAAAAGAACCCTCCCAAAAAGGAAGAAACTTTCTTACCAACCTAATATATCATCAACACTTATTATTTTATAAGACCCCAGAACTATAGTTTTTTACACAGTATAAATTCTGTTACGCTATTCCAACGTCTGCGCGTATTCCAAATTTTGGACCTCTATTTTTTCTCGGGACCTCTGAATTTTTTGGGACCTCTAATTTTTATTCGGACCTCTACACTAGAAATGACTTTTGAAGTACCGTTTACATTATATCTAGCAGAATTACCCCATAACATTCAATTTCGAGCCAATTCTTATCATTCCTTGAAAATCATATCAAGAAATTGTTAACTGACGTAATTTTCATTTTAATATCATAAAAGTTTTGGGAGTTTACCACTTTTCGATATCTCGAATAGGGATCGAGATAATTGAGCCTTTAGTTCAAAGCTAGAGTGACAGTGCTTGTGAGAATAGTGGTAACCATGCTCAACTGGAAGAACTGGGAGATCTTCCTCGGGAAAAGTATTACAAAAGTAATACCAGCTATCTCTGATACGCTTTTCTTTATGCATGATCTTTTGATTTTTTCAAAACTTTTGCAGTTTTTCAGAAATAGAACTGCTGTTCTATCAGACAGTGGCAGACTGATATGTACGATTGGATGAGTTCCAATTTGGTGGAAATAGCACTACTCTATTGAAACGTGAAATTTTTCACCCTTATCAAAGCACATGCTTCCAAAAGGCACGTGTTTCAAGATTGAATAGTAGAGTTTTGTTAATTTTTTGCTTGGCTGAATTCTCAGTCACGGTAGAATAACCTTAAGTGGTGATTTTAGCTCGAAAATGTTATAATTTTGTGCTGTTCGCGAAAATAACAAAAAAAAGATAATTATTGAATAGCTTCATTTGTCATATCCTTAAAAGCATACTTGTAATCCAAGCCTTTACCGGGCCTCCGCGGGCCCTGGCATAGTTTCTCTCAGAGTCAATAATTTTGGGCCAACTAAGTTTGATATGATAGAACTCGACGAGTGCTACAAAATGCTACTGTTTGGAAAACTGTACTTTGTCTATGAACAAAATTACAGGCCATAAAGTGGCTTTTCCCGGACGGCCCGGAAGGCCCGGGTCGGGCCTGCATTTTTTCGTACTATTTTGTCTGTAACTTTGTTTATAGACAAGATACAGGTTTTTTCAAATAGTATCATTTTGTAGTACTCCTCAAGTACTATGATATTGAATTTAATTGGTCCAAAAATATTGACTCTGAGAGAAACTATGCCAGGGCCCGCGAAAACCCGGAAAAGGCCCGGATTACAAGTATGCTTAAAAGGTCACATCAATTATCATTTCTATAATAAAGAAATGAAGTGGCTTCTCTCTTTTTTTTTGTATTTCTTTCCATTTTCCTAGGAGGGGAGTTTCCCAGAAAGAAAATCCGCCAGACCAAGTTATATTTACCGTACGACTTTTATGGTTGGCAGACTTGACGCACAATGAAAAAAATGAAAAGAGATTTTGCTTTTTTTAATTTGAAATAGTGTCAAATGTAAGGAGCGTAGCGACCATCGTGCGCCAAATGTGCGCCAGCTAGCTCGTGTGTTACAGTAGTCTTTAATAGATTTTTCCAACCTGGATGACGGTTTCAATAATGCGATGGTTGTTCTCGAAATGTTCAGTTTTAGAATGAATATATTCATTTTGATCTTTTCATCATTCAAACCACCGAAACATTTTTTTCTTGTTTTTTTTTTGATAAATGTGACTCTACGACAATTTATGATTTAGAAACTGGACAACCAATAAGAGAAGTGATGTGATCCTATGTGTTTTGAAGTAAACAAAGGAAAAACTCCGAGTGATAAATCGTTCTCAGGAGAGATTTTAAATTTTTTAATTACTACTATGGAGGTAGAGTTCACGTGATCTAATAAATCAAATTCCTATCGGAATTCCGTGAATGTGACGTTTGCTGGAAATCTTTTCGAAACGTTTTCCAGAGAAGGGATTGAATCTGCAAGGGCCTTATTGGGGGCTGGAAAATATTCCTAAACCGAAGGCTCCCAAACTGGGATTTTTTGAAACTCGCTGGCCCTATCCGACAACTTGTTGATTGATTTGGTTGATCTAAACAACAATTCGACATTCTCATTTCAGTAATCTCCTCTCATTGGTTTCCCACACAGTTTGGTGTGAGATCAGTTTTCTTGAGGGAAAACACATTCCAATTTAAGTGTGGATGGGCACAACGTTTGCTGACGTAGAATGGTACCCCGCGTTTCGCGTAAAACAGCGTTGCGTCTGTTTTCTATTGATTGCCAATTAATAATCAATAACCATTGCTGTGGTCTTCTCATTTTTTCATCCTGGGTCATTCAAGGCCTTTTTTCTATTAACTTTTCCATTTTCTATTGACTTTTTTTCATAATTCTGATTATCTATTCATTTATTGTTGCAAACACTAGGATATTTATCTTTTTTTTGTGGTACGTAGTTTTCAATTTAAATCATATCTTGGTTAGTGTTTGGATCTCAGAACACTTTAGCAAATCAGTAATACCAAAAACCATAGCCTCTCTTTTCTATCTGTAGCAGGTTGCACAACCGACGATACTCGCGCTCTAGTCGTTTAGTGCCAAAACAAAAAAGAGGTCTCGATTTTGAAGCGAAGAGTTTATAAAAATGTCCCAGTCCCCCGGAAGTTCAATGCAGATTCAGTTCCTACTCCTGAAAATGTTTCAAAATGATTTCCAGCAATCGTCATATTTTCGGAATCCTGATAGGAACTAAATTTATCTCGCTAATAATGAGAGAAAATTAATTTTCAACATCTCTTAGAAACGATTTATTTCTCCAAGTTTTTCATTTGTTTTCTTCGAAAACATCGGAGCATATTTTTTTTATTCGTTGTCATGTTTCTGAAACATAAATTGTCTTAGTAAAACTATCATAGTTCCGAGAATGTGACGTTTGCTGGAAATCTGTTTGAAGTATTTCCGAAGAAAAGATTGGGATTTTAACCCTTGTGGGCCATATCCGACTACTTGTTGGTTAGATTTATTTGGTTTGTCTGAACCACCTTTTGATATTCTCATCTCGGTAATCTTCCTTGCTAAGTTCTCATAGCACCACACAGACACACAGTTTGGCCTAGATCACAAGACAATCATTTGCCCTGTGGGGAATTTCAGAAAGAGTATGGATGGGAACACCTGATGACGTGGACTGGTACCCCGCGTTTCGCGTTCAACAGTATTGCGTCTGTTTTCTATTGATTTCCAATTAATAATCAATAACCATTTCAGTGATCTAGCTCATTTTCCCATTCTATGCTCATGCCTTTTTTTGTTGAAGAAGGTGGAAGGTTTTTGCCTAAAAACTAAGATATCTTTAGTTTCTTTCTTTATTTTGGCAATCTCAAAAATTGTAAGACAGCTTCTAATAACATTTCTAAAATTCTGATTATTTGTTCATCAATTGATTTTTTTGGCCGTCAGCGCCAAAATTGTACTTTGCTTTCTTTCTACGTCGAGTTGATTTCCTTTTGCGATTTGATCTTATTCTGCGATTTGGTCTTATTCTGCGATTTGATCTCCTTCTGCTATCATTCACATTCTACCATTTTATCATCTTTTCTCCCAATTTGGAAGCTACTGGTTGGTACCAAACTTCTTTTCCCTGCTACTAAGCTTATAAATAGACCTGCATGCATCCACCAGTTAACGGTATCGGTGATTTTTCTTTTAGTATCAATATTTTTTGACAAACTGAATTAGGTATGATAGAACTCGATAACCACAAAACAACACTGTTTAGAAAAATTATTTTGTTGGCGAACAAAGTTCCAGACCAAACGGGCTGAAAGAACCACCAGGGCCCGACCTGGCTGGATTGGGAGCTTACTGGTACGTAACTTTGTTGGCAAACGCTGTATCTTGTGGTACTCGTCAAGTTCTATCATATACATTTTAGTTGGTCAATTATTGCTCCTGGGAGAAGTTATCACAGCGCCCTCTAGGCCCGTTTTTGACACGTTTTCAAGTATGCTCCGAAAGTGTATGAGAAATTGTTTATGGTACACCCCACACCTCCAAATATATGGTCAACGTGTTGCAAAAATGAAATAATGATCAGATTTTGGCGTTTTTGGATATATTTTGAACATTTTTGTATTGGTACTATACTTGAATTCCTCTATTTTCCTAAAACAAAAAACTTTAGCAACCACTAAGCACTTCATCAGAAAAGACTAGAATTCGCACTACAAAAACCCCCTCAAAAACCTGGAAAATCTAGAGAATAGAGAAAATGCGTAATCACCAGTCCACTCGCGAGATACAGTAACCCATTTCCCGTCTGAAAAATTACTGTTACTATGTAAAATTAAACGGAAAGTTTTTAATATAACAAGGAAACCTAAGAAGCTCACAAACCCAGATTTTGATGAAAACTTTAGGATATGTACATCTCTGAAAATCTAGACATCGCTGAAAACTTTAAAATCCGCCCGCCAGTCTCAGCCGAGTTATATCAGTTTCAGTACAACAAATCGCCGATTCAGTGCGAAAGCAGCGTTTTCAATAATGGTTTTCTCAAATTCTAGGACGTTTTAGAGATCGAAATGTATTGTATTATATTTAGACTTTGATGAAATTTCGAACATTATCTCAAGAACAAAAAGACTTTTTTATTTTTGAATTTTTTTCACGATTTTCCAGATTTTTTCGAAAATTGAAAAAATGATTTTTCTGAGGAAAAATTTGAAATATCAAATTTCATCAAATTTGGAATATAACACAAAAAGATTCGAGTTCTGTAACCTCCTAGAAGTGGAGAAAATCGTCGTTGAAAACGGTGCCTTCGCACTGAAACTATGATTATTGTTACTGAAACTAATATAACTTGGCTGAAAATAGCGGGCGGATTCTAGAATTTTCAAAGATGTTTACATAGACGATTTTAAACATATAAGAAAGGTGAAAACTCAAAGGTTTCACGTTAGAGCAAAAATAACTAAACAATGAGAAAATAATGAGAATTTACACATTAAAAACTCCGATTACAAAAAAGTTGTCTTCATGTGGGAATTTTTTGATTTTTCCCGGAAAATGTAACGTGAACATATATTTTCATGAAATCTGGGTTTTCATGAAAAATCCACATTTTATTCAATTTTTTTTTCGTTTTTATCAAAGTTAATGTACAGAAACACATAATCTCAAACACAAGAATACATCTGTGAAAAAAGACGCGAAAGTAAAATCAGAAAAACGTTCCTCCTGAACGGAAATGTGAAAAACACAGTTTTGAATACAAAAAAATTCAATTTTTCCTGCGTAAGCACAGAATTTTTCAAAAAACTCGTTTTGAAACCCCAAACGTGAAACTTTTGAAATTTGATTTCTCTTATATCCTCAAACTTTCATCAAAATCTGAGTTTTTGAGGCGGGCTCTTTCCGGGAAGAACGGTCCCAACGACTTGTGACAACGGTCCCATTTTTTCGACAACGGTCCCAATGTCCCGAGGACCGTCCCATCGTTCCGACAACGGTCCCAACCAGGCTTAATCTAGAAACCCTATTGAAAACATCGGAAATTGTAATTTTCGTTTCAACTAGGAAACACACTTCAGCAACAAAAACGAAAATTTTGCTGATAATTGAGAATTCCAGCACTTTTTCACTGAAATTTTTGCAGAATGTATTTGGTTTATAATTATAGGCTTAGGCATTATAGGCCTTATAGGTTATCTCGTTCCTCTAATTTTCTTCATTTTTTATTCCCTCAATACTAAGCTCATTTTTTTCAGATTCTCGTTGTAAAATGGTTTCAAGTAACAAGAGAGCCGCTCTTCTCAAGAAGGTTGTCAATCAGAACGGTTGGTCAGCCAAAAGCTGAAAAACAACCAGTACCGTGCGAAGCGACCTGCCACACTTCAAAATAGCATTCTGAATTGTATTATGTGTCCCGTGTGTACTTACATCTTTGGCACAGAGAAAAGAGCCAGAGTGTTACGTGAGTTTTGACACATTTTTGTCTGTTCAAAAAAATCGCGCGGATGGTTGTTTACGTGCTTGTTTACTCGTTCATCAGCGCAATAGTTTTGAATAGAAAAATTAAAACTATTCGAGCTGTTTTTTTTTATTTCAGCGTGTTTGCACACGATTTGCGAACAATGCGTCACTACAATTGTGAAAATGGAAAGAGATAAAGTGATGGAGAGAGATGGTCTTGACAAAGTTCCAGACGTGGACGTAAAATGTCCTATCTGTAGAAAAAAAGTTTTAGTTTGCAGTGTACAATCTGCACGCTCTCTAATGAAAAACCGAACTGTGATGACGGCAGCTGTAAGTTCCACTTGTAATTTTCGATACCTTTTTTGTGTTCACTGCTTTCCGATTTATTAACTCTAGTATAACTCCAAGAAAAACTCATTTTTTTTGATAAAATATCAATCTTTTTTTTTTGAAGACAATGCTCAAAGGATGTGATCTTTCGGAAGAGCCGGAGGTTCAACTTCCACTTAAACCCCGGCATGGTAATGCCACATGCAAAACCCTTAAAAAGAGATTCAAGGAACTGGAAGGAAAATGCACAGAATTGACGGCTCTAAAGAAGAGAGAAAACACGCTGCACGAAAGTTTAGAAGAAAAAGCTGCACTTCCTCTGAAATGCCCAAATTGTCAAAAGCGCTACAAGGACAACCCAAAGTTGATCAGTAAGTAGTAAAAAATTGCATTGTTTTCATTCTTTGTTTCAGGATGTGGACACTCAGTTTGCACAGATTGTTGGGAAGTTATGAAAGCAGAGAAGGACGATCGTAGTTTTGTTAAATGCCCCACATGCAATTCGTTCAACAGAATTCATGAAAAAAGTGTTAATTACTGCGTTATGAACTCGAAAGACGAGTATGTGAGAAAATATTTGTAAATAATTTGGTTTGACAGTGTTACTCATTTTTTATAAGTACCATTTTTTTGGATTTATATTATTAATCGGCTTTTAATCTTAATTTATGATTTCTAGTGTTTCGTTTTTCCAGTGTTCTTTTTTGTGTTTTTTTTGTAGATTTTGTGTATCTCTGATTAATCGATTATTGTATTGTATTGTTTCTTTTTTTTTTAAATAAAAATTTCAAGAATCCTCTGAATATATTAAAATGTTAGTACCTAACTCCCCAGTTGAAATTTCCCTTTGACAATGTGTCTATGTTAAAGAATTGGCTGCAATACAATGCAATACAAATCGATCTCCGTTTTTATTTATTTTTAGCCATACATACAGTACCGATCAATATGATATTAAAAACTCTTTTCAGTCGTTTTATACCATATTCAATTGTCTAGAGCTCAAACTTGATATTTCCAATCACTTTGAATATTTCAAAAGTGGAAAACAGATCGAGATTGAGAACTTTGCATTTTCAGAATTTTTTGAAAGCTCCTCATTTTTCAGCTATTTTCCGAATTAGAAAAAGCACTCCGTGTTGGCCCGTTTTTATACTAAAAACGTGAAAAAGCAGGTGTCCTTCAGAAATTGGTAAGTATCTGAAAAACTAGGAATTTTCGAAAAATTCTGTGGATTCAAAGTTTCAGATCTAGGTCTGTTTTGAATTCTCCGAAATTTTCAAAGTGATTGGAAACCTGAACATCGAGCTCCAGACTCCTGAAAATGACCAAAATCAACTAAAAAGACATGTTTTTGTATATCTTGTTAACCGGTTCTGTAGATAATCCTTTTTTTCCCTATGTTACGTCTATCGACTCATGCTCTCAAGATAAAAGGAAGAGTTTTGCTGAGAGTACCGCCGCCATCTAGAAAAAAACACAAAGTGCATGCGCCGTATTGGATCGGTGCCCACATTAAGTTTTACTGACATTATTGATGTCTCCGGCGCCGAAAATTCAAATATGTACTTTTTTTCCTCCTCCCTAATATCCCGTGATTCTTTTCTGCGTCTATTTGATCTCGCTTCCACTCTCGGTTTCGCGGGCTCGCGGTTTTTCTCCTCAGCAAGTTTTTCGATTTTTTGGAGGGTCCGTCGGAAATTGGCACGTCTCGGCGGCATATCGAAGCAGACTTACTAGAAATATGAGGTTAGGACAGAACCTGAGCATACAACAATCTCAATAAAATCTTGTTTCCAATTCTCACCTCCACTATCTTTGACGTCGAGGATTTTGGTAATTAACTTGAAAACGTTCTCTTGGACTCCAGTCGTTTCATGCACCTGGATGATGAGACATGCATTTTCAGAAGTTCCAAAAAAAGAGAAATCGAGAAATCGCGTGACGTTGTATCACGAATCACCAATTAAAAGTCCCTAATGAAATCCTAATGACGCAAGTGAGAGAAAAATTCGCGAAAAATACTAATAATTCTGGAATTGTTCAAAAATAGAATTCAATACACCAGTTATTTTAGGTGATTGAAGTTTTTGGTAGTTTGAAAAAGTTGGGTTATAACTGTTTTCAGAGACCACAAATCGAAAATATCTTTTCGAATAAAATCTTCTTCCTTTAATTTTCCATAATTTTAAAATACGGATCTATCTTAGAAGAGAGTCCTTCAGAATGAACCGTCGCTGTTCAAAATTATTGGATCATCTCATTCTGGCCAGAGTTTTGTTTAATTATGGGTTCAATCGTTCTCGAAACATATCAAAAACAGTTTCAGACTGAGATCTTTACTCGAAAATTTCATTCTCATTTTTAGACATCAAAACTTTTAAAAAAGGGCCATCCCAAAAGAGTGGTTTCATTTTGGAGCCTGATGATGATCTTTCAAAAAGAAATAACCAAACTTCAACTTATTAAAAACCGAAATTGCCAAAAACAAGCCATTTGATGCATTTAACTCTATTTTTGTTCAATTCCAGGATCATTAGTATAATATTTTCGTGCATTTTTTTCCGTTTACTTGTGTCATTTGGCACTTTTAATTGGTGATTCTTATAACAAAGTCATGCGATTTCACTTTTCACAATAACACTCTAAATCTGATAACGAAACGAAAATGAAAAAAAAAACTAATTATACGATTTCAAAATATGATTTGTCGTTGGACCAAATCCAGAATCTGAAGCCATCACTTTAGAATACAGTTCTGATAGTTTAGAAACGGTCCCGTTTTCGAATCACGGTCCCACACTTCAAATCTTGTTTTTTAGAATGGAGGAATCTTCACGATTTCTTTTCAGACTTGAAAAATTTTCAATTCCCCAGATCTGATTGCACAGATTTTTAGGTTCCATACTTGTGAGGCCATGATATTATTTATCGAAAATTCGCAATTTTTAATATCTAAGATTCTCAGATCTTGAGATTCCTGAGATCTTAAATCCTGAGAAATTGAAAACTTGGACATTTTTCAGATTTTTTGTTTTTTTTTCTATTTTCATGAGTTTTTTTCTTTTCGTGATGAGTGTAGTCTTGCTTCTAATTTTTAGTCATCTTTCCATATTCCAACATGGTTTTTGAAATTCGTACCATTCTAAATAGGTCCCAGATAAAAATGTATAGCCTGCTCTTTCATTTCATAATACTTTTATTCACCTCCGGTTGTTATGTGGATGAAGAAATCGCGTGACTTTTTTGTACAATCGCTAATTGGAAAATCCCAAGTGTAGCTCAAATGACGCAAATAATGAAAAAAGATTTTCCAGAGAAATGGGCGGAGCGTAAAATGGGCGGAGAGTGAAAATGTGCCCAGAAGTATCCGGAAATCTATTTAAAGATTTAAATGTTTCTAAATGCATCTGTTTTTAAATTACCCTTTGGCATAGTTTGTCCCAATTTTTGTTGTCCCAAGTTTTTGTTGTCTCAATCATCGAATAGTGCCAAAGTATCTTTTAAAATTTTTGAATTTCAGACAATGGAGTCCACTAACTCAGGCAATGGAGTTGTCAACGTTCTTCCTGCTCCCGCTCCTGTTTCCGATGCTGCTCCAATTGAACATCAAGATCACAGCCAAACTGATCAACAGCAGGCTGCTCCAGACGAGGTTCTTGCTACTGAGCAAGCTCCTCCAAAATCCTCTTTTGAGGATGTGAGTCTATCTTCAGCATTTTCCAGATGTTAGAATGTTTGTTTCAGTTTCACGAAGCAATGAATGAGCTCACTAAGAAATATGAAACATCGAAGGGAGACAGGGTAGGTCGGATTTTTTTGAATTTGACTTTTTACTCATCACATTTTCAGTTGAAACGATTCTCAATTTTCGCGTACCAAGGTACTGTCAAAGACGACCAAAATGAATATCGGGTCATAGAACAACATCCGATTTATTCGAAAGTATGTTTTTATTATACAATTGTTTTAAACGTGTACTTTCTTACAGGTCAGCACAATGGAAGACCGCATGATCTACAAACTGGCCCCTTTCCTCCCAAAGGTAACTCTCTTGCTTGTTGATTTGTTAATCATCAATTTCTTTCAAGCAGCGTCCTATCAAATTCGCCCTTGTCCACAGCAGAGAGGTTGCTCCAGAGAAGGATTCGGACACTCACTTTGATGTGAACGTATCTGGTCTTAGAGAAGTAAGACCTCAATCAGAAGAGACACAAAACGTGGTAAGTTTTGAGTTCATGACTACGGTAATATTATGATTCAGCTCAGAAAAATCCTTGAAGACTATCTGAGCAATCCTGCAAACACACCAAAAATCCCCTTGGTGAGACTTTTTTTCATTTCGCTTTTTTCTATCTTCAAATTTGTTTTTCCAGGTCATGAAGACGTACGAGAATAATTCAGTTGGAGTAATGAGGAGCTCCCATCGACTGTACTTCTGTGTTGGCCAGCCCCCAGCGAAACCGAAACCGGAGCCCACGCAACAGCCAAATCCACAACCTCGACCACCTGGGCTGAATTCCAACGAGAGTCAACAAAGGAAAAGCTGCTGTTCCATAAACTAATTTTTTTCTGTCATTCGTTCGTTTTATATTCCAAATTGAATGCTACGTGTTTGCAACAGTTGAATAAAAATTTCACAGAACGCTGAATTTTAAAATCTCGGTGTGTTTATTCCTTCCATCCTCGTCGTCGATTCCATCATTATCAAAGCACTTCCCAAATTTTGCTAATTCACCGCTTCTAAAGGTGGGCTCATTATGTCCCGTTAATTGTAATATTTTCAGCATAAATATTCATTATGAACTACAACATTGAATAGTTAAGGTAAACATCGTCATAGAATGCTCTCTAAGTTTTGAGTCGGTTTATCTCGGTCCGTGTCAGAAATATCGAAAAGGTGTCAACTGATGAAACGTTTGTGATATTATGGAGAATATTTTGTAAGTTTACAACTTTTCAAAATCTTTCTCAGGAACCAAGATAAATTACCTCGAAGTTGACAGTTAATAGGGATCCCTTGCACTACTTACTCTTGTACTACTCTCTTGCACTACTTATAAAAAAAGTAATACCTTCCTATTGTAACAAGTTCGAAACTTCCGCAAATTGAACATGAGATCAATGTGTTTCTTCTAATCATTAATTTAAGAGCAAAGTTCCGATTGATGACACATTTGGTGAAGGTTTTTGCGACAACTGATAAAACATGCATAGAATTTCGAAACGTCTTATCAAAAGTCTGGACTACATTCAAGAACTACCAAACATCTTCACTATCTTTTGTGAATAGATTGACTCACTGAAGTTTCAACTGAAACCTCATCACTAATATATCGAAAAAGAAAAAATGTAGTCTGATTTCTTGTTATCATTTGAAGATCAAAAAATTCCTCTGTGTATATAAACCAGAAGAAGAACATACTTTCAGTGCAACTATGCTCTTGAATTTATTCCTAGTAATTTCCTTGGTTATATGTCCTCATACAGTATTGGCTAGTATTCGAGAAAATATTCTGGCACCAAAACCATTACATGACTTAAGCCCACAGTGTTTGAATGACACCGAGATTTGGTTTCAGTCTCTGCAGAATTTTGCGAATGTCTCTCTGGATTGTATCACTCAAAGAAAATGTACCACTGAAGAATTGAGAATACTGGAAGACAATTTATATGCTATAGAACGTAAGTTTGAAGAGTTTGTGCTAATATAAAGATTTCTTAGTTATCGTTGGGTGTTTTGGACCCTAACTCAACTGCTACTGTCGTCTTTTGAGCGAAATAAGTAGGATTGCCGTTTTTAAGGCGAACATGGTCGCCTTTTGAGCGAAGTCAGAGCGCCGCCACATTTTGAGCAAGCTTCGGCGCCTTTTGGGCAAAAAACATTTTAGGCGAACCCAAGCCGAAGGTAGAACCTGTTAGGCGAACCCAAACAAAGCCAGCCAGCTTTTGCTCTTGCTTTTGCCATCATTTGAGTTGCTGTTTGGGCATCTTCTGGGAAAATCGCTATCGGAATCTGGCCAACCAGCGCCCAAAATATGACATTTGCAGCCGAGAAGTCTAAGTACACATAGAAATGGATGAAAGAAAAACTGACACGTCTATACTTAAGGACCGATGTTATCTTTAAAAACCAAAATAACAAACAAAACGGATTTATTTTTCAGAGCTGGACGCATTCGGACAAATACCTGTACCAGGAATGTTGGAAATTACAACATTGTACGACGGATCTTATCAAGAATGCCAGCGGATCAGTGGTGTTAAATATGAGACAAATTACTGCTATTTGGTGATCAAACCAGGAAAAAATGTATCTTGTGCTGCTGGAAACTCTTCTTCTCCTATTGACTCTTTACCATTGAGGCTTGCAGTCTGCCTACCGTATTCATGTGACCACCAGGATATGATCAACATTTTCAATCAAGCGTCTTTGTATCCATTCACTGCTTGTGCAGCATATTGTGTGAAATTTGATGTTGAAAAAGACGCGCCTTTCTGGGGATTTTCGTTAGTTACACTTTTGTAAATCTATTATTGATTGTTGATATTCAGATCGTTCTTTTTGGTGATGGTTTTTATTGCGGTAGCGGCTACCGTGTTCGACTACTTTCGAGATTCTCTATTTGGATATAAAAATGACAAAGAGAAAAATATATTGTTCAAAATTCTCCTGGCATTTTCTTTCTGGACAAACGCAGAATTGATTCTATCAGTGAAAGAACAAAAACCAGGATTCATCAAGTCATTGGACTGCATTCGTTTGTTCTCAATGACATGGGTCGTCACGGGACACTCCTATCTGTACATTATTCTGTCTAATACGCTCTCACCAATCATCAATTTTCCAAAGCATTTCTGGAACCATCTAATTCTGAATGCTTTTTTATCAGTAGACACTTTCTTCGTGCTTTCTGGAATCGTAGTTGCGTATCTGTTTTTCAAAACCAAGCCGAGCAGAAAAATTATAACGAATCCAGTAACTTGGGTGATGTTCTATGTTCATCGTTATCTGAGGTTGACACCTCCTGTGATGTTGTTTATTGGTTTCTTCACAGTTTATGCGCCATATCTTCAAGGAACGTTTTCGGCATCCGCGTTCAGTGAGTTTTTTCAACATAATTTCAAAGTGAAATTTTCATTTAGACGAATTTCTACAGAAATGTTATTAACTTCAAAATGAATGCTCTATTTTTGTTTAGTCGGCCTGTAAAATTTTAGACTTACGGCCTGTAAAATTTTAGACTTAGAGACTACAATATTTTTTAGAAATCTGAAGTTGGGTATTTTTGATTAAGAGTTGGCGAAGTTAATGTTTTTGACCGATAGCTATAGAAATCATTAGAACAGTTCACGGATTTCGGAATTACTCTTTCTGTTGTGAGCCAGTAACTTCTAAGATACCAGGCGCCGCAACCTCACTAAAACCGTTTAAAACTTCCAGATGATCTTGTCGCTGAATCAAATGCATGCAAGGAAAGTTGGTGGCAAAATCTTCTCTACATCAACAACTTTGGTGATACCTCGAACAATAACAACAACACCTGCTACGGACCCACCTGGTATCTTGCAGCTGACACCCAATTATACATTGCATCTCCCATCTTTCTCATTGCTCTCTATTTTTCATTTGCTGCCGGAACCGCTTTACTTGTTTCTGGATGTATTGGGAGTATAATTGCTACCTATGTCCTTTTCAATGTGTATGATATGGCATCTGATAGTTATGGTAATGGAGATGCCACTCATTTCTTTGGTGTGATATACTCAAAGCCATGGATTAGATGTCCACCGTATCTCGTTGGAATCTTCACTGGATATCTTCTGGCTCATTATGGAAATCGAAAAATTCGGTTGAACTGGGCACTGGCGTTAGGTGGATGGGCAGTGGCGTTTGCGATAGCTGGATTTTGTATTTTTGGAAATTATGACTACGACAAAGGATCTCACTGGAGTGTTTTCGCAAGGGCCTCTTTCTACAACTTCCATCGTCTTGGTTGGGCAGTCTTCCTTTCTTGGGTGATATCTGCGAATCATATGGGATGGGGTGGTCCTATCAATAATTTTATGTCTCATCCGATATGGCAACCGTTTGGAAGATTATCCTATTGTGCATATATTGTGCACTGGATGGTTTTGTTTTATTACCATAATATCAGTGGCACCCTTCATTTCTATTCTACTTGGGAAGTGGTAAGTTTTTGTACATACTTTTTTTGGAAAGTTCAGAAACTTGCATTTCCCGAAATATAATTCTTTGTGATTAACAGCTGTTTTGTGCAAATTCGTTCAAATATAATATTGCGCTTGAATCCAAAAAGTGACAAAATTTTATTAATAGTACCGAATTCAGAGCCAGCCTCGAATTCAGAGCCTCAAGTATTGTTTCTCATCTTGATTCATTCACACAATAACATTGTCAACTACAAATTTGAAGCTCTATCATTGTTTAGTAGATCTGAAAAAGTTCAGTTTCATTGACCAGTACTATACTATGTAGGCATTTACTATACTATGTAGGCATTTGAAGTTAGCTATTTTCTTGAAAAATACTTTTACAAGCTTTCGGCTGATACTGTATGTGGGGGAATCCAAAATATAATAATAATAATAATCATTGACAATAACGCATAACCTATTACGATTGCGTAGACTATGCCAAAGGAACCATAAAGGGATCATTTTTGGATAATCTCATAATTACAGTGTTGCGTTGCCGATTGCGCATGAGTAATATCAATATCATAGCGACAGAAACCGAGAACTGCAAAAATATGTGTAGTTTGGAGGTTTAGGTATCATAAAAGGAAGAGAAACAAAGTCGTTGTGGACAAAAACCTTTTAAATTGATGTTCTCAAAACATTTCTTCATTGCAGTTCACCCATGTTACTCTGCCAGCTACGTTCATGGCATACGTTTTTGCCTTCTTCTGGAGTTGTCTATTTGAAATTTCAACACTCAAGTCAGCTTTGCCGCTTGTTTTATTTTATTTTATGTTGCGAATTTCCAGGTTGGAAAAAATGCTTTTCGAAGTGATTTTCAAATCTGACCGACCATCTCAAAAGCTTGGTGGATCCGTGGAAAATGGAAAGCTTCCTAATGCAGTGGCTGAAACATGGAGTTCAGTTGAAACAACACCGAAAACTAATTGAGTTGTGTCATAATCTGTTGATCTCTTGAAATTATTGATTTACCGTTCACTATTTTTGTTTTATACAACATTTCATTGAACAATAAAACGATTTCTCTATTGAAAAACCGGCCAGAAAATAATCGAAGTTGCAAAAGCTTCGCTTCAAACCCTTGTCTTTTTTTTATTGAAGGAACTGTGAAAACAGGAAACTTCGACAATCAGCTAAATTATAATTTTGTATTTCCTTCTAGAAAAAACTGTTTTTTTTTCACTTCCGGAATTTCTCGATTTTTGGTAAATTCACGACTTTTTACAAAACCAAATTTAATTTTTCACTTTAAAGACGAATATGTCTAAAGTTCGCACCTGCAAATGTATTAGAAAAAAACAAAAAAAAAGAGCCAGAGTTCACCTGAAGAGAGCGCCTCCATGACAGTAAGAGTTCGAAATCGAACTGTCAAAAGAAAGCTCCCTTCAGTCTTCCTCAGCTATTAATTTAAACTTACATGGAATAGAAATAATAGACTTCAGGGCTGGAAGATTTGAAAAACAATCAATTGTTAACTAGTATGTTTGCAAGAGCGGTCTCGTTGTGATTGATTATGCCGTTATCAGTTTCGAAATTCAAAATTGGTTGGCGCTACAATATAAGGCGCGTGACATAGTAATTTTGACAGTAAGTCGTATGCAAAAATAAAGTATTGTTTTTTGTTGAGGAAAATACAACAATTTTGAAATTTCATGTATACGTCACTTTACTAGTACTACAGTGCCGAAAGTAAATGAGCCGAGCAATAGATTTTTTCACAGTCAGTTGAACTCGATTGGGCAAAAAAAACATCATCGAGACCAGTGGAAAGTGAGAAACCACACACCGGCATACTTGTGAATACACACGGGCGGTCAGAGGGGGCACAACTGCCGATGGCTGAGTAGAACTGTGTATGCGAATAGGTGTATGCCTTGTCGGTTTGCGCTGTCAGCCCAAAAAAAAGATGGGTCAGTCACCGCCCACCTCTATCGCTCTCTCTCTCTCTTTTCCTCTCTCGCCCGATCAACGTCGACAGCACGCTCGCTCTTCTGGTTGCGACGTTTTTATCGTTCATTGTTCTTTCTCTCTCTGTTTTCTTCTTCTTCCTCTTCTCTCACGCCTTCTCCTTCTTCCACGTCTTATTCTTCTTCCAATTTTTTTTCCTTCTTCTCAGTTGGAAAGAACGCAAAAACCGGTTTGGCAATTGAATTCTCCTCAAAAGAAGAAGAAGAAAAAGACGCGGCGAAGTTTCTCGATAATTTGAAAAGAGAGAAGTAAGAAGAAACGGCACAGAAGAGGTGGAAGGTTGAAGAGGAGAGGGAAGACTTGAAAATCGTGAGACGTGATGGCTGGGAGTGATGTAATGGCGGTTGGGCGGCGGCTGCGGCTGCGGCAAAAGGTTTGAAAAATCACTTCGCATTTGGGCGCGAAAAAAAAACAACTGATTGGAATTGAAATTGGTTTTTCGGAGCGTTGTAAAATTTAATTAAAACTGGGAGGAAAACTGGGCATGTGTTAGTACCTGTCACCTGGAAAGGAAGAAATGGAAAATGGAGGGAAAATTGTTTGGGATTACGACTAGCAAGTCAAGTGATTCGAAACGATTAAACGGGGATTAGAAGAAAAATCCGAAAAATCCTAGGAAATATTTGCGGTTTGCCAAGATCTTGGGATTCCATAAAATTCGGAACCTATTTAAACCGATTCTGACTTTTAATAACTCTCGGATAAGATAAGATTTGTGAATGACTTGATTTCAGTAAGTCATGCAAATAGCTACAATACCGGTCGATAAGATATACAAAAACGTAATTTTCAGTTGATTATGACCATTCTCAGAGAGTCTAGAGCTCGGCTGTCACGTGTCGAATCACTTCGAAATTTTCTGAGGGTGTAAAATCAACCTAGATCAAAAACTTTGCGTTCACAGAATTTTTCGAAAATTCTTACTTTTTTAGCTATTGATCGATTCCTGAAACCCACCTGTTTTTTTCCAATTTTCAGTACAAAAATGTAGCTGCTGAAGATAAACGCCGGTTCCTGTGGCCAAAGGTCCCACAACGACAACTACAGTAACCAAAAATATTTTTTTGGATTTACTATCTCAATTTGGGTTAATTCTAATTTTCCGATAATTCTAATTTTTCAATTTTCTAAAGGGAAAAATAACAGAAAACTTGACTAAGAGCGGTAGAAAGCAATAACCTAAAAATGGAAAATTTTTCAAAAATCGGTTACGGTAGTTGTTTTTGTGGGATCTTCGCCTACTAAAATGGGCCAAAAAATCTCTTGGACTTCTCATCCTTTCAAAATTTCTGACTCACGTATCAGTTCCTCAAATCTAAAACTAGAAAAAGCGTTCTGCAAAATTTGGAGCAAAAAAACATTTTTCAATCAGGCCATCCATTCAATATAAACATTTCTCCTCCCTCTTTCTATTCTGCTCATTGTTCCCAAAATCAAAAAAAAAGTTGAGAATCTAGAAGTTTCCTTGTTTGCAATAGTTATCACACTTCTTACAAGGTGCTTTGCGATGCATTTTTGAAGACGATTGTGGGCACTGATAAGATTGTAAATGATCGACTCGACGAATCGCTATCTGCACGTCAATCCGAAAAGTGCAAGATCATAAACGAGAATGAAGAGATGAAAAAACGACGAGCGACACAACTTTTCAAAAGATTACTCGATGGGAAAAAAGAGCGAATTGGCTGCGATTAGTTTTTAGGCCAACACATCATTGAATGATTTTGACAGGATTGGGTGTTTGGTTAGGACGAAAAAAGAGAGGGAAGAGTGTGAAAATATTCAAATTGTATGTAAAATCGAAATTTCGCATTCCGAATTTAGATGGATTTCACATTTTGGAGCACAAAAAGCAGACCAAAAATTTTTATACAAAGAAAAACTGCAAAAAGTCTATACAATCGCGCAATATCCGTTTTGTTGGTGTCTAATTACAAGTGGTCGTTGATGTTCATGGGAGGAATCTGAAGTTAATGAAAAGAGAGTTTCTTTTTTTGCAGTTTGGAGGTTCATGAAGTGTCTTTTTTATATTGAAGTTGTTTTTTTTCATATTGAAGAAGTTGCATTTCCAGTGACTACGTACTCAACCTCGTCATTTTTCATACTTGCAACCGGGCCTTCGCGGGATCTGCCATAGTTTCTTTTAGAATGAATATTGTTAAACCAACTAAATTAGGTTGGATTGAACTGGACGAGAACTTTAAAATATCATTTTGAAAACTGTGTCTTGTTTACGAACAAAGTTATAAACAAAAAACGGAAACCCGGCCCGGCCCGGGCCTTCGCGACAAAGCCGGCCACTTTACGACTTCTAACTTTGTTCATAGACAAGACACAGTTCTCCAAATAGTATCATTTTGAAAAATATTTATTCAAAAAAAAACTCCAAGGCAAGTGAAGGGCCCGGCGAAGGCCCGGTTACAAGTATGTCATTTTTTAAGTCAAGAATTAAAAGAAGAATTCGACCCAAAAATGTTCCTATGTGCTAGGAAAATAACTCCATTCACACAGAAACAACACAAAATCATATATTTGAAACAAACCTAGAAAAATCTTCGAAAAGCAAAAAATGTAAAATTCTGTGTATTGCTGGAAACTTCTAGAACGTTTTCAATTTTTCGAATACCTGCCAAAACTAAAAACTCTCCGTTTCATTTTTGAAACTTTTCTAGCTGTGATCTAAAATTTTCAGTTTTGGCGGGAATTCAAAAAAAATCCATTTTGCGAGATTCTGCTAGTTTTTTTTCTTCACATTTCCTTTGTTTCAGAACTCATCTTATCCTCACGAATTGTTTTAAGCACCCCTTCTCTCCATTCGTTATTCCGAATTCCATTTAGTTATTACCTAATGGAGGACAAGACCTTCATTTTACGAGATAATAGTTTTTTGGGATCCGCCTCGGTACCCATTTTATGGTTCTTTTACTTTTATGAGCTCAAGTCTTGGTACGTTGGACGAAGGTTTTTTTTTCATTATTTCATTCCATTCTATTTGATGGTCCGAAGAAATTTTTAGATTGGCTTTGAAAGCTCCTCCCTGGAAAACGAAAAGTTTTCCTTTTTCAAAAATCAGTTTTTATATTTCAACAATTCAGTGGAGTTTGAAGTTTCGGCGGAAGACGACAATGATACCGTATTTTCTGTAATGAAAGCACATCAAATCATCATGTTTGAGCTCAATCATCTCGCTTTCTGTAGAAGATTAAAAAAAAATGTCAGCTGATAAAATCTTGGAGAAATTGTGATAAACAATCTATCTATTGACAAATTTTTGATATCTTCATAGGAAGCGAGATAATTGAGTTTGAAATTGAAAGTTCGGGCTGGCTCCTATCATAGAAATACGGTAATATTGAATTCAGAACTATTCATCAAAGTTTCGAATTCTAAGAAAAATCTGGGTTTTATTTTAAAAGATTTCACTTTTTTGACATTGATTTGAAAAACGATTTTGATCTCTAAAAAGTGAATAAACAGTGTTCATTATTATGGTTTGGACCTGTCAAATCCATAAATTTTAAGAACATCAGTTTTGGTCTGACATGTGTTCTCTCTGAAAAAACGGAACAACATTCAACGAGTAAAAGAGACACCCCTTCAATCGTTGGTTGTAAGAAAGATATTTGCTTCTGATAGTTTAAAAATTAGAATGTTCACGATACTTTGTTCCCAATTTTTGGAAAATCTCTATCCATCCACCTGGACACATTTCCAGAGTTATTTCTTCCTAAAATCTATTCACAGATTTTCTCACAATTGCACATATTCCGCTGATTAACGTCATTGTCACCTAAATCTGCACTTTCTATGATGTAGGCAACTACAAACACCGATATTCACGTTTTGAATTGTACGTCACTTTCCTGAATGTCCCTTTGAACTAGTTCTATTTTAAAATTTTATTTAGACCGTTTGACATCATTTCCATCACAAATTTTGTACCAAATTTAATATGACACTGA